CATCTCTATCTCCTAAAGACCCAAGAAATTGCTCTGAAGCAGAACAAAAAAGGTCCAGAGAAAGAAAAAGGAAGAGTAGGCGACCGTCTTGCCTTTATCTAGGATTTAAGACATTACAAAAACACTAATACAGCAACTAATTCTCAGAGGCTGAAATTGGCTCGGTTCACTCTTCCGCACACGGGGGCTGTCCTTTCTGTCCTGCTCTCCTTAGGAGGGGACCCAAGACACTACAAGGAAGTGTAAAATGCTCTCCATATGTTCATTATAACTGGATTTCAGACTCTACATCAGTTTTTTTTTTCTTTTTAAAGAAAGCTATCCCTCGGTCAACTGCGCTGTTTCCACTTAAGAGAAAAGCACAGGATTATCTTAGGGGATGGGCTTTTCATAAAAGCCAATGGTGGTCCTGGTGGGACTATAACTCTTGTCATCAAACCAAAGAATTCGCCTTTTATGTCTAAACATAATGAATGAGGTGAGATCGTCACCATCAAATAGATACTAGAGTACCTATCTCTCGCAACTTTTTCCTCACCTCATCTTCTCAAATCTCCACCCATTTTCTAGCCAGCCTTTCCTTCTATGCTGCCGACAAAACCACACTGTGAACAATACCGGAAGGCTCCACGACCTTGAAGGCTCCGACCTCATCTGCATCCCACAGAAACCATCCGTGCTAAATCGACCCCAAGAACAGGCTGTGTTCCCCCCCAAGTCTGGTGAGGTCTGGAAAAGGACAAGCAGGCCTAGTCAGAGAGAGCTCCAGATGGCCTCAGTGTTCCATCTGGTGCTCATCACGGTGGGTGCGGGTCCCCCAGAATTCCCCACGGCTGGCCTGCCACGGTGGGGGCGGGGGGGTGGGCGGGTGCTCCTTTGAAGTTCTCATGTCAGGAGACCCTGGGTGCTCACAGCACAAATCTGAAGGAGCACAAATCCTAGCCCTTCCCAGATGTCCATTAGGCTGAGCCCAAGTCTTGAACAGCCTGCTGAGGGGGCCAGACGCTACAAGGTGAGGCAAAGGAGAAGTTAAGAGAAGGGGTGAGAAAGTGGCGGCGGGGGGGGGGGGGGGGGGGGGAGTGAAATGCACCAGTTGGCCACCTTTCCTCTCCTCTAACCGCCCTGGCTGCAGGCTGCTGGGTCCTGGAAAAGGGCTCCGAGGCAAGAAGGGGGAGCCATTCCAGGCCTTTTCTCTTCCCCTGACCTAGAACGCGGACCCACACCAGGGCCGGTGTCTGGTACACAGAGGGCTCTGGAGGACCTCTGACTCCCAGACAGGGCTTCCCTGCTTCTCTTCTTTCCTCCTCAGGTGGCTCTGCCCTGGGGCACTTCCAGAGTGTGGAACACTCTTGGCCAGATGGTCACGCACAGACAGCAAAGTACTCTTCTGCATTTCTGCCTACAAGGCAAAGTGGCAAAACCATCCAGGAGGAGGGCGCAGGGTGGCTAAGAAAGGGTAATAAATACTGGCTGGAGACACTGGACTGACCGCGGAGTTCCTCTTAAGGATAAACAGCCCAGAATTTGGGGTACAAGTCCTGTTGCCCCTATAGCAGTTCGACCAACTAAATAGAGACAAGAAGTTAGTCAGTCTCTCTCTGTGTGTGTCTGTCTCCCTGGGAAAATTAATTTTTCCTTTGGCAGATGGTTGAGTCACAAAGACAGAAGGATTCATAAAATTCGCATGAACATCCTGTAAACATTTAAACACATAAAGATTAAATACAGCAACCATGACCTTGATTAAAGTTAGACTTTTTTTTTTTTTTAAATGTCTACAGCTCCAAGCCCTGCAATTTGGAGGCTCACCTTCCCACCTCTTCTGACGTGGTCGGCTCTCCCTGGGCATGCTGCGTGGACAGGCAAGCATGTGCTGTTTGATCTGTTTTACGATGGGAAATTAAGGGCATCCGAAGAAAGCAATGATTCGGACCCTCTAAACACAAGAGCCTTACTAGTTCTCTATTAAACTGGATAGACTGTACAATACAAGAAAAGTCAAAATAAGATCCAAGGGCAAGTGGATCCAAGTGACATGTTCCTCCTCGGTTTCAGCCCCTCCCCCCTTCCCGACTAATTGTTTTATCCCCACCGGAGATGCTGGCCCAGGACTAGGAGGTTCTGCTGTGACTGAAGTCTCACCTAACGAGGCCAAATGGCTTACTGAATGAAGCTCACAAACAGACTGACGGGACTCGAGTCCTAGCCCCTGCAGCTTCAGCCCGGGCTCTGTCCCCAGACTGCTCAGCCCAACATCAAAGCCACGGCCCCCCTCCAGCCCCCACCACAATCAGCTTGTGAGATTAGCACTGCCCTCCCACAGTGAAATTTTATGGACCAAATCTGCCCGCCACCAGGCTCAGCAGCATAATCTCAGCAGCAGCTGAAAGCCAGGCTTCTCTAAGGCCAGAACTCGGTGGGAGTCCCGGGAGGGAGAGGTGATGTGTAGCTTTAAACATCTGGAGGTGGCGGCCCCCACGTGTCTGCCTCCCTGCACTCTTGTTAGGCTGTTCGATACGCCGAAGCCTTGAAGATTTCTGCCAGTAGTGTTTGTTACCTGGTGTAAATTCGCCCTTCCTTACAATGCTTTTTATTGCTCTTGGCTAAGAATACTGGACAGAGACGGGAGACCTGACTCGCAGGCAGGCCGCTTTGCAGGAGAACTTGAACTTGATGTGCACGAAGCTGACAGTTCCTTGAAGGCCTTGTCAACCACCCATCCAGTAAACGCTGCCACTACCCGGAGTAAAAACAGAGCAAAAGCCACAAGCACGTATGGAGACTCTGTGCACCTGTGTTGAAGCAATCGTTGACGTTATCACTACACACTGAATCTCTTTTTGAAGTTGTTTTCCTGATATTTAGCGGTCTGAATACTAATCCCCTTAACAAAACTGTCCCCCCCCCACCCCCGCCCCCCTAATCTCCTTCTCTCCAGGGGGAGGGCGGGTGCTGGGTACCAGTCAGACGACTTTGCCGCACCTGGATTTGCATTGATTCCTCTCTTGTCATTCATGTTACCAACAGGAATTAGCATAAGGCATTAAGGGAAACTCTGGAGGAGAAAAGAAAGGCCATTTTGATGGAAATAAGGGGCAAAGGAATAATCTGCCATCAACTAAAATGCTTATTTGTGTATGGTTTCCCAAGCAAAGCTCAGAAAAAGCCTATGTTGATTTTAGTGTACACAAAGAAACCTTAATCCTTTCAAGGCAACTAAATCACCCCCAGAAAAGCAGCTCAGAAGAAAGGCACCCTGTCAGGGGGATGACTATTCACAACCAAATAGATGCCACAAATCACACTCTGTAAGTAAACAAAAATAAGAATGTGGGAAACGTTTGATTGGAAAAGGGAAGGGGCTGCGGGGAGCCATTCTCATCAATCACTCTTCAACCTCCCTGAAGAGAGCCTTTCAGCTCAGTGAGGGCAGCGAGGGCCTGAACGCAGGTCCCAGAGCCAGCTCCCACTCTAGGGCTGGTCCCAGAGAGGGGACACACATTCCAAAGCTTTTTAGAGCCAATGAGCAGAAGAAAGAAGGGAAGCTTGGGGCTGGAGGAAGGGGAGGGTGCGATGGGGGGACACCTGAGCCGGGGGTGGGGGGGAGGGCACAATGGGGACAGCCTTCCTGTCCTACCTCATCTCCCCCTCCTCCAACCCTCTTCTCTTCACCCAGATTTGGATCCACCAGCGTCTACCCATCCCCTTCCCTCATGAAACCGAGCAATAAACAATTAGGCATTTTTACATATGAGCGCTGCATGCTACGAGCCACAAACATCTCCTTTTATTGGGCTTTTAGCATCATGGATAACAAATTTATACAAACTTTCAGTCCATCAAAAAATATGATGAAATATAAAACCAGAATACTCCATTATGCAATAAAAAAGATAAAAATTCAATGTGACAATAATTCTGGGAGTAGCAGCAATCACACTAGCATATACACCTCAAGGGAACGCGAACCATAATGCACAATTTAGAACTGCAGTTGGCTCAAATTCTGAAATAATCTGGGAGCTCAAAAGAAGCGGCACTTGGAAAACTGGGTTTTACTAACCCAGCAAGCAAAAAAGCTGGCCAAGGAGGCGGCAAGCGGTTTCAAATTTCTCCACTCCAAGAGGGCCCCACTCTGCAACTGCTACCAAGTATCTGCTACGTAACAACCAGACAGCACACTTCTTTACGTAGCCAATGACCATGCAAGCACCCAAACCAGGCTCTACAGCAAAGGCGAAGAGATCAAACGGTTGATGTGATTTATACCCTTCCAATAATACACCTTTGCAAAAGGCAGGGATTAGAGACTCCCTTAAATTTCACGAAGTCCAACAATACTGCTACAAATAGAAAATTGCCCAGGAACCTATTGGCAAGGATTGAGGCCAAGTTTCCCCTTAATTAATGCACTGTTGTATCTCTCTTAGCTTATGTTGCAGTTCGGAAGAAATTAATGGGATAGCACATATTTAAATGTTGCCCTCTTGCTCGTTTATTAACTTTACAGAAAGCCCACAGCAGACTAAGGTTGGTTTATGACCATAACCCAGTGCATACTAAACATCCACTGGCTATCAGAGGCCGCAGGACGAATCAGCTATTTACAGTTCTATTTATAGTTCTCTGACTGCTGGGTAGTTGATAAGTAACAATAAATTGAAGGCATTTTGAGAACTATTATTCTCCATTACTGCTTCCTGCATTAAATTAAACTCATAGAGAGAGCAGTGATTTCTTAGTCAAATCAATTTAAATAAGGGTTCAGTGTATTCTGTAAAAAACAAAACAAAACAAACAAAACAAAACAAAACAAAAAAAACCCATTCTGGAATGTATGACCAGAGCATCCAGGATGTGTCTCAGGCCAAAACACAGAATGGGAACCATGGTTCCAAAATGAAAAATGAAAGACCGTTTGTTTTTTATTCTGACTTTCTAGGCAATGACAATGAAACAAGCACAAAAATCAGCCATCGCTCAGAATGAAGGTGTCTTACCTTTGTTTACAATAACAGTATTGAAGAGCTTTTCAGAGCTGGCATCTGATGCCTGAAAAACAGGAAAGGGAGAAAAAAATGTGACTATGGTCATTAATATTGTCATCACCGTCACCACTACCCTGATTTTCAAACAGTTCACTACATTTTTAGCAAAGCCTGACAGGGAAGGCAGAAATTTCCCCCAATCCTCCATAAGGTGGCACTATTTGACCGCCCGAGACAGACCTGCAGTGCAGCTCTGCTGGGGGAAAAAATCTGGTTTTAAAAACGTGTCCTTATTAGACATATTATCTGTGCAAAACATATTTCTATGAGATGATACACAAAGCAATTCAGCTCATTCACATAATGATTTTGCAATTTCGTTGACAGATCATTATTTTGGAAAAATGGTACTTTTTCCCCCCTTGAGATGTATGGACATGCCTATTTTTCAATTTCCTTTCACAAACCAGAAATGCCTATTATTTAACGCTAAGCTTTTCCTCACTAAAGAGTGTTGGCTAGCACTTCCAGAAATTAATTTAAAGATGTATCCGATGACCTCAAGATCCTTGTTCTTCCTAGCAAACCAGGACGACCTTGGTGTTGAAACCGAAGCAAGCTGACCTGGCCCCCGAAGCCAACACTACGCATGCCAGAAGCGTTACACCCTTTCCATTTTCTAGAAATCATGTCTGCTAATTATTACAGTGGCTTGAGGAAAGTGAAGTAAGCCTGTTTCAACAGCAAGAGTAAAGCCAGCGTAAATTCTACACCAATGTTCTGGAAAATAAGCACAAAGTTGGTTTGGAGGAAAATGCTATAATGTTGTCGAAGCACGTTATATTTCTAGAACTTCCAGAAAAAAATTTAAACAATTGAATTAAACATAAGCATCCCCTCTAGATAATCGGAAGATGGATCTGCATTTAAACTTACAATGGCTATTCTGTACATTACACTGGTTTGTCATGCAGCCCTTGTACATCATTTGTCTTTCACACTTTATACATAGAGATGCATGTTTTGACAAAGCAAAGCATAGAATGTTGAATAAATACAGAAGGAACTATAAGAAATAAGGGGAGAGTATATCTCAAGTACAGCATACTCTGTGACTCTGGGGCTGGCTTTTGGGGACAAAGAAGATACTCAATTTAGCCTTTCTGTGTTATGTTGATGAAAAAGAGATATTCTTGCGTATATCTGGGGAACATGTTCTAGTTTTCAATGCAAGGGATACAGAAAGACAAAAAATACTTTTATTATGAGTATTTTCCCCTTTATTTTCCTTCTAATCTGCCTACTGTAGCGGTGGTTCAGAAAATTAACAGATCAAGGGGGAAATGAACGTAAGCGCAAAAACAAGAGTTGGCTTGCACATACATTTATATACGAAGAGTTTATGATAAGCCCTAGATTAAAAAATTTTTTGTATGAATAAAAAATATGCCAAAGGCCTTCCTGACATCTTAAAGGGAATTAAATAAAATTATATAATAGCTTTTCCTAAAAAGAAGCTGCCAAAACAGTGTGGCCTGGAGAAAGAAACAAGATATGGATTAAATAAATAAGAAAGATTGTTATTAAAGGCAGAAACTCCAGGAATGGTCCCATGACACTGTGATCTGTAGTGAGATGTCTAAGAATGTGGGTTCTTCCTGCTAAAAACTCAGAGATAAGCCTTGTCCCCGTTCTTGAATGAAAAAGCATCTCTTAGTTTAAACTGGAAGGGCTACGTTACATTCATGGCTTATAAAAACAAACTCTGGCTGATACGTTTAAAGGAAGAAAAAAGTCCATTAACGAAATCATCTTAAAACTGAAATCACCTTTGCAGACAGGGGGACTACCTATTAAGATGTGTCTAATTGGCCCATAGAAATATGACAATAAATGCAAATGTAGCCCAAACGCAGAGAACATCGGTGAGGAAAGCAAATGGTTCCCCGACTGAGTTTTTATTTGTGTGGGTGTATGAGCAAGAGAGATCAAATAAGACAGAAACTGCAGGTGAACAGGCCCTCTGGTTGTCTGATACACCTCCTCGGGGCTGTGGCCTTTGTCGGCTCCACTGGTCTACACAACACATGCTATTCTCAAGGAGGCGGTTAACTGATCCTTGTATCTGAAGCGAACTTAGAGAAAGTGATTACGATGCCAACCAGTAAGTTATTAAGGAAATAAGTCTGACAGGATATTCACAGAAGATTAGGAGTGTGCCTTCTAATAAAAGCTGAGCCCTTTAATTTTCTGATACGTGTCACAAAGCCTGAAAGCCTGAAACGCTGCCCCTTCTAACTGGGGAAGGGGCCGTCTCAAAAAAGCCTCCGCAGGAAAACACCCCAAAGAAAATGGTTGTAATGGGACTTTGGCTAATCATAAAATGATCTGGACCCCTTCGGTCTCTCACCCAGGGGCTGGAAACACCATGGCGGCCCACTGTCCTGAAAAGTCAGAAAGGAGCTTCTCGGCCAAAGTCTAAAGTGGAAACTACAGGAAAATTCTTTACATTTTCTCCACCCCAACTTTCCAAATTTAACTTCCGCCTTTAAAGCATTTGTGTAAATTATTTGGCTCTTTATCTTTGGGACGTTTCCTTTTTCATGATTTTTTTTTTTTTTTAGAAAAATATAAAGTCTGCAATTCCTTGTATTACCTGGGCCATTTTCCTGGCTGATTTTTTTACGTTTATTTTTACATCAGGAACGTCTAATGGAAACATGGTGAGCCAGAGTTAGGCGAGTGGAGCTTTCTCTTCTCTCTCTCTCTCTCTCTCTCTCTCTAATACAGGGGTACCTTTACGCGCTAAGGACTTCTAGATTTTGCCCTCAATTCGCTTCACACGCCTCGCTCGGTTTGAGGGTGAGGGTGTAAAGTGGCTGCATCTAAAAATGATAGGAAAACAAAGCTCTCTTTTGGCTGCTTTTTATTGGCGGGGGGGGGGGCTACGTAGGTAGAGCAGAATTTTTTTAATACTAAAAAAATTACTAGAGGCCGTAGTTGGTGTTTAGGGGAAAGTTATTAAGTCAAACAGATTGGAGGAAAGAGCGCCGAGAATGGGAAAACGAATAAAAGCCTTCCGTGCAGGCGGGGGTGGGACGCGGCCGCTCGGGTTCGAGGGCCACCTCGATTCCCTCCGGCCGCAGACCCCGGGGCGCCCTCCGCAGCCGCGCCCGCAGGAACGGGGACTTCCCAACAGGGAAGAAAAGCCTCCTCGAAACTTGAGCGCGAGTTCTTTCAGCAACTGACGCCGATCGCGAGCCCAGACCCCCTCCGGCTTCCCTGGCACCGCGTGCCGGCCGGGATCCCCACTCGGAGCGGCAGCGCCACGCCGCGCCACGGTCTCCGGCCCGAGTGGGCGCAGGCCCGGGCCTCGGCCCCGGCCCCGGGTCCACCGGAGCCCCTCGGGACGGGAGGCGCCGGGCGGGCTGCGGCCCCCCAGTCCTCCCGGGCACGACCGCGTAGCCGCTCCCCGGCCGAGCTCGGCGGGCCCACGGAGGAAAGTACAAAGGCGGGCGGCCAGGCCGCGGAGGGAGGGCGGGAGGGAGGGCAGAGGGAGGAGGGGTGACGAAGGGGGGCCCGGGCGCGCCAGACGCGAGGCGCCCGCCCCTGCCACCCCTGCCCGCGGGCCCGGCCGCTGCAACAAAGACCCCCGACCCGGCCGCCTCCCTTCCGAGCGCGGGCGGCGAGCGAGGGAGCCGCGCCCCCCGGGCTGCATTACCTGGTCGCAAAGGGTTAAGCGGTCCTGTCAGCCCCAAGTTCATGGTTTGGTTCCTTAGCAGGGCTCACGATGGGGGGATCGGCAGAGACCAGGCGGAAAAGCAGCCAAAGACACGAAGAGAAAACGCCCAACTCCGACCGGGCTGCGTCCGCAAGTCTCTCCTCGGCTCCTCGCGAAAGTCTGAAAGCGGATGCACGGGACCCAAATCCGTACGAGAGCAGCAGCTGGCGGCGGCCGAGCGCCAGCGCCGCGCACACATCCAGCGCGGCCGAGGCCGGGCGGCGGGCGGCGCGCGGCGGGGGGAGCGCCCGGTCCGCGCCCGCCCGCTGCCTCCGGGCCGCTCCTGCGGCGCACGGGTCGGCCGGGACGGCGGGGACCCGAGCAGCGTCCCGGGCGGGCCGGCGGGCGGGCGAGGCGGAGAGGAGCGGCCCGAGCCGCGGCCGCGGCGCGCGGAGCTAAGAGCGAGGCGGCGGCGGCGGCGACAGGACAAAGGAGACCATGTGCGGAGGGAGGGAGGAGGGAGAGGGAGGAGGAGGAGGAGGGCGCGCGGCGGCGGCGGCGGCGGCGGCGGCGGCGGCGGCTTCTCCCCGGCGGCCGCCTTGGGCTCCCCGACTGTCGGTCCCGCCTCTCCAGCAGCGCCGCGGCCCGAGTGGCCCGGGTCCCGCCGCCGCCGCCGCGGCGCTGGAGAGGGACGCTCCGGGAGTCTTTATTCGGGGCCGATCTCGCCCGGCGCGGCGCGGGAACGCTGCGGCGGCCCGGGCGCCGGGCGGGCTGCGCGGGGCCGACGGCGCCTCCCGGCCGGAGCTCGCGGGCGGCGGGGAGCGCCCGGGGCTGGCTGGGCTCCGGCCCGCGCTCCGCTCGCGGGCGCCTGCCTCTCCCGCCGGCTCCCAGCTCAAGTGAACTCCATCGGCGGCCGCCGCCGCGGGCTCCCGGGCTGGACGGGTGGCAGGAGGGGGCGGCGGCGGCACGGGGGCCCCTGGCTCCGGACTTCGCTCCCCGACTGCGCCGAGCGCGCCTCCTCCAGACGCTCGCAGCTCTCGGAGCGGGACTTCCTCGGCGCGCCGAGCCCGAGCCGCCGGTGCCGCCGCCGCCCCTCCTCCGTCCCGCCCCGCGCGCCCCGCCCCTCGCCGCCCCTCCTCTCGGCCCCGGCGCCGGGTCGGCCCCGCGGGGGCGCAGTCCCCGGGCGCGACATCGACAGCTGTCGCTCCCTCCCGCGCCCCGGGCCCTGGGTCCCCACGGCTGCCTTCCCCGCGGGCGGGCGCGGCGGGAACTGCAACGCTCCTCGCCCTCCCCGCAGTTGCCGCTTCCAATATTGCGCCGCGGCAGGGAAAGGCCACTAGGCC